TTTAAAGGAGTAAAACATTTGGCACATTTTGACCTAATAGAAGGAGCACGACGGCACGCAGATAGAGATGTGAAGTGTGTTATTATTTCAGTGGAGCTACACTTTTCCTTTTCCTTTGTCCCACGGGCGCTCCTGATAGGCCGACTGAAGCAGCGAGGCGTGTAATGGCCGCTGTGTTTCCACCGCATAGTGGTGACTGCTCCTAAGTTGCTTAAAGGTCACGGTTAAAGCATATTTAAAGTGTGATTTACTGTTGTACTTATCGTGAGGTAAAACACATTTTGGATCACTGCATCACCTTGAGGTAGAAAAATGAGTATGGCAGCCACCCAAAGCTTCCAAAAACTGTTCTGCATGGAAAGTGTTTAGTTGTTTAGAATATCAGAAAACTGGATTTTGGAATTCCTATGTGCTCATGATGAGTCAGTCAATGTCAATGTTTCCAAAGGAATTAAAATGATCGGACTTAATTATTAATCTAAAATTCTTCATAGTCTTACTAATCTACTGTTAAAATGTTACTATTCTAATTGAGATAAAAAAGACAATTGATGCCATATCCATATTGTTTTCCCTATTTCTATCTAGCCAGTACAAAGCTCGTGCACAAACCGCAGTATTTATGCAGATGCGTAAATGAGTTTTCATTGAAGTGTAAAGGGTGAAAAATTCCATATTTCAGTCTTAAAAAAACAAGAAACATCCAAGCTCTTAACACCTCATTTTATTGTCCCAACATTCAAAAGTACAAATAATTCAAACACAACAGTTTTATGAAAAAGAAAAAACAAACATTTACAGCAAGATTTTTATTTTGTTTCCAGTTTCAGAAATGACCTAAACTAGCAAGGATAACATGAAGTCATTCATCGCAGTAATTGGATTAATAATAAGAATAAGAATACTAAGAATAATAGCAATAATAATCATAATAATCATCATTGATAATTGTTAAGTAATAACATAAGCAGGAGAGAGTAGAGAGAGCCGCGGTCATGGGGCCCCGTGAGCATTTTTTCGTCTTTTTTGTCTTTAAAGATTTCGTTTATAGATTTTTCAGATAGTAAACAAACACGTCTCAGGAGGAAAATGAAAACTGACAAGAAGAGCCGAGTTCCTCTGTTCACGTTCCCTCCTCCACTACTGGCTGCGTTGTTCCTACTGGCAGGCTGCCACTATAAGGCGCTACAGGGGATGGTGTGAGCCATAGGGGTCGGGCATGGAGCAAGGTGACACAGCCCCATGTTTCAAACACCCTGACATGCACACACAC